CCCCTCTTCAGACCAAATGTTTATTTAGCTTGTTCCGGGACACTGGCCATCATTTGATCCACAATAGTAAAGGAGGAGGAACTTTTTCTCCACAGTCTAAACCAACTGTTTCTAAGAACCTGAAAGAAGATAAAGTAATCAAAGAAAAAGATATGGTAAGGAAGGGAAAGACGTTAGGATGTGATGGGTTGTTGAGAAAGACGTGGCTATGCCATCTTTGTTACAATTCAGATGCTTGGACTGATTCTCTTTTTGTGAGCCATATTGATTTAGTATGCATCTTGATGCAATGTAATGATCATTGTGTCTTACGGCCTTTCTGACATTGTGAAAACCATGTAAAACTTTCACTTTTGAAGTGTTTGTTTGTTTGTTTCTTTCAGCAAGCACCCAGTATAAAATCTCAGAGCTCTGATACTCCTTTGGAAGCTGAACTGTCACTAAACCACAATCCAGAGGGACAGGTAATTATGTCTAAGGAATTGAACAAGGCAGTATGGTATAACAGAAAATGCTCAGGGCAGGAGATCCAAGTTACCATTCCATATATACCCATGACTAGTTTATGACCTTTGGCGATTTGTTCCGTTTAAATGTGACTCAGGCAGGCTTCACTAGCCACAATACAGACTTTTGATGAGTAGTATAATAGAGATTCAAGTAAAACCCTTTGTGGGCCCAGAGGAGACAATTATTATCTACTAGGATGGAGTCTTTTCCAGGAAGGCTTCACGGAGGAGGTGGTATCTAAGGTAAGCAGTGAAGGTGAAGAGAACTGCTTGTCAAATGAAGATGGAGGGAGAGGGATTTCAGGGTGAGGAAAAGATTGGGAAGGTTTGGGAAAGTTGAGGAAGAGAAAGCTAAAGATGAATGAGGTCCCAAGCCTCACTTTCTGTAAGGATTAAAATGCCATTAAGAAAAAAATCAAAGGGATAGTTTTATGTACATATTTATATGTGCAACATGCATATTCATATATCTAATATAACACATTGGGGGCACAGTCATGGAAGCTTTTTTTTTTGAGTTTCCACTATTTATTCTGTGTACACTCTAAGCAAAGCAAACATTTTCCTGTCGGCTAGCCCAGAGGCAACCTGCTGTGGGCTCCTCAGTACAGAAACAAGTCATCCTGGGAGGGCAGCATAAGGAATTCTGACCCCACCCTCAAAAACTGCCACCCGTGAAATGGAAGCTTTTTATACATAACCAGTCACTTCACAGGATTGAGCTCCTGGGCTTGAAGACTAAGGACCAGTCTCAGGGGACACCTAGATTGATTGGTATTACATGCTCATAAAAATACTATTCTGTATGCTCATTTGGTGAGCAGAGTTTGGGGTCTTCAAAGCTTGCGAGCAATCATCTTAGACACAACTATTGATCTCTTCCTGCCGGGAGTAAAGGAGAGTCACGGAGAGCAAACACACTGAAGGAAGCAGTTGGTCCAAAGGACTGATGGCTCCCATAATCACAGAGTTCTCTATCCAGAGCCCAGAAGAGTAGAAGGTGCTCTGCCAACACTAATGGGCACTCGGACCCAGGAGCACAATACAAGGTACCAGTCAGGATGGGGGAAAAATGGAGAACAAAATTGTAATGTATGAAAATGATCGTACGCGGTGGTCTGATAGCGACTGAAGGAACTCCTGAAACTATTGCCATAAGTCACCCTTGTACCTTGGAACTGAAGCCACTCCCAGAGGTCACATGTCAATCAAATAATAGACTGGCCTGTAAATTGAGCAATAACACCTGTGCAGAATGTGCGTTTAAAAACAGTCAACTATATGAGATCTGAAGGTCATTTGCCAAAAGCAAAGATGAGAGAGCCGAGAGGGGCACTTTGTTGTTAGGTTCCAACTCAAAACAAACCTGAAAAAGAACCGAACACTCACTGCCATCGAGTCCGTGCTGACTCACAGTGACCCAAAGGACGGAGGAGCACTGCTCCGGGAGTTTCTGAGACTTGCACTCTTTACGGGAGTAGAAAGCCCTGTCATTCTCTCCGTGCAACACAATAAATCCTTGCCTGGTCTGGTGCCGTTCTCACGATTGTCATGTTCAGTCCATCTCGGCGATGGTATTCCTCTTTTTCGCTGCCCCTCTGCTTACGCAAGCATGATGTCCTCTCCAGGGACTGGCTTCTCTTAACATGCCCGAAGTATGTGAGGTTAAATCTCACCATCCTTGCCTTCCAGGAACATTCTGGCTGTACTTCTTCCAAGAATAACCTGTTTGTTCTCTTGGCAGTCCATGGTACTTTCAATATTATTTGCTAGCACCACGATTCAAATACATTGATTCTTCTTTCGTCTTCCTTCCTCGGCGTCCTACTTTCACATGCACATGAGGCAATCTAAAATACCATGGATTGGTTATGAAACCACACAAATGGAAATGGGAACCCGGGGTAGAAATGGGGAGAGCTGTGACACATTGTGGGGCTATGAGGATAGCAACTAATGTCACAGACAATAGCTAATTTATGTGTAAAGTTTCATATAAGCACTATTTAAAAAATCAGTGAGAGAGAGACTGGTGGCCAGCGATCCTTGAACTAACTACAAGCTTTTCTTTCGTGTTGTGTTTTAATTTGTTCTTTGTCAGTGG